ATGTTCAGAGGATGCACTTGCAATAAAATGCTTTCCGTTTTGAACCAAACAGTACTGTAATAAATGTATCACGATCGTGCAGCAAACAAATATACAAGACTGACTGCAATTGTCTGCACTGCAGAAAGTTCTGCGAGGTGCATACTAAATCAATGATCACGTAGGGGCTCATTTGACTGATTCTTACCCCTGCCATGACAGAGTGCTTGATCCAACTGGCCGCTGTCAATGTTCCACAAGTGCAATTCCCCATTATCGCTGCCACTGATGGCAAATTCCCCAGTGTGATCAAATTGCACATCACAAATCCGATTACGCCTGATCTTTATACGGAGTGTCTGTATGAGTAACAGATGGCAGGTCGGGTTGTCTGTTAACCTGTAGACATCGATTCCATCTACAAGATTCCACACAAGAAGAGAGCCTAGGGAATCTGAATATGCTGAACTACCGCTGCTCATATTCAGTCTTTACAACGTAGAGATACTAGTAAGGTGCTCACATGCGGTTACCAAATTTTTGCCTCCACAACTCTTTCCAAGGTGAAATGCTCCATGCCACGCTATAAATGATCATTGTCATTACTTCGTTATCAAATCATGCAGCGCTCACATCTCACGAGAATCGAGGTAGGAGGCAAGAATGCTCTTGCCTTTCTGGAAGAAATGCGTTGAAATGACAAGCGCTGGTCTTGGGTCCTGGGAGAATGGTGGATCCGCCAATAAACACTGCAAGGGCTCTAAACCAATGCTAAGTCTGCAGCTGGGTGACAAAAACTATAGCATGATTTACCAAGTTTTCCTATGGCAAGTCTGAAGAGGACGACTCTGCCTGGTCCCGTCGCAGCAATTATACCCTGAGTGTCCTCTACCTCAATACTTGTCACCGCACCCGGGAATACTGTCTGTATGCTCAAAAGTACGTCTGTCCGCTGTCAAACAAAGGAACAGATTCATTTTGACAAAATATTGAAGCCTTACTGTTGAAAACACTTACCTTGTCACCACTCAATTTTCGCAGCTGCATTGTCCCATCAGCGCCACCTGACAAAAGGAAATTTTCAGCAGATGTTAGTGAACCAACTGCCCACTTCAAGGCCGTTATAGGGCCTTGTTTTGGCCGAATGCGTAGGATTTCAGATGATTCAGCCATTGACCACAGCATGATATGTCCGTCATCCCCTACAACAGGTAATCATGCCCCAAAGTTCAAAGGGATAGTGAACAATGTGCCAGGCCAACCTAAATGAATACTCACCTCCACTAGCCAGGTAGCCCTCTTCACTGAAGCACATACAATTGATGGGAGCTTTATGGCCCCTGAGGGAGCGCTGTAGATAAAATTTGTTCATAGAAGTCACCCAGCGGAAGGCTGATCACAGGCAAATTGATATTCTACCCCGAAGCGAGGAACGAGCGTAGGGTTAGAATTAGGACTTTGCGGCAGCGGCAGTGCAGCACGTGGCCTCTCTTGTCTCCGCACCACGCAGTGCTCGCGCCACGCTCCAGCAGGCTCAAACCAGCCTGCTGCCTTCTGCTTTTCTTTTCTCCGTGTTTGCTCTGCTCTTCAAAATCTTGCACCGCCATTGTCTGGGTGCCCCATGTCTGATTGTTGGGATGCAAATCGACTTGCAGGATGATGCTCGGGTGATCGAGAAGCTCTCCAGGTAGAAGCAATGACTGGCGTCGACTGAGCACAGTGAAAGGCTTTCGAGAGAGCTTGGCGCTGTCAAGTATGCGGCGTTCTCCGCCCTGACACAGAAAGGGTTGAAAAACGTCTTTGACGAGGTTGGTGAAATCTTTGATAAACCTTATCTGAATGATTGGCTGATAACCTACTACAAGGCTATTGTTGCTGCGCTAGAGCTATCAATGCATCATCATTTAATGAATGATCCATCACGACAGTACAGCTTATACATGTATGTTGCGACCGTGTAACATTCTCTTACAATCACATAGAATCTCGAAAGACAAAATATTGTACTACTGTCTTGCGTGCACTTACCATTGCCTCATGTACATTTCGCATTGATCATCTTGATCGCACACACGCACAATCGACAACACATTTTCATTTACACACCGCCTCGAAACATATTCCATTGTATTGCTACACTTTCGACAATGATAGACCAATCGCACAGTAAGTTTGTACTCACAACTCCAATGTAAGTAAAAGGAAGTGTGGAATGAATAACGCAAAGACGCCCTGTGTCCTGAGGCTTCTTCCTAACAAAAAATAGCTGGGGTATTGATGTCGAGCAGTGTGATCGGAAGCTTCTGAACATAATGGGTGAAGCGGACAATAAAGAGGGCTCAGAAAAACAGGAGGTAGCTAAATAGCTTGGTTCTAGAACTTCTAATACCGCTTGAAACGTTCTTCCAGCTTTCGCCGCACATCAGCAGATGCATAACTCAATACTGGATAACTGACCAGTGAAACACCAACCATGAGAATAGCAAGTTTTACAGCTTCTTTTGGTGGTTCGTGAAGCTGCATCAAGGCCCACTGGTCAGCGCCCTGATAATTCAAATATCTAGCACTTACTTCTTCAAGCATGAATTTGAGGAGGAAATCATTGACTTGATTTGCTCCAAGAAATTGAACATCTAGCTGTAGTACGTCTCAATCAGTTGTTGCTTTTTTGCCATTGTACAACTTACCTCGTCGAAAAGAGCAAAGACTTTGCTCACAAATTGGATGTCGCGCTGGGAAGCATGCTGAAATCGTTGGCTCAAAAGACTATGATAATTTTGGTCCACTTAGTTGTAGAACGTCAGTGATAGCAAGCTCAAGATAAAATAGAAATATCTTACATGAAATATGCTCCAATTGCTGTTCCTGAATTGCCTGAGGAGTATCACTGACATATGGATCGAGAGATGAAGCCACAGCGGTGTCCCTGGCTTGAGACTGATTGCTCATGATGGAGTGTTTTTGTTTATCATATCAGATGTGTCTCCTTTTAAAATCTCCAGAAGAAAGGAAAGACGCTTGAGGATGCTTGCCGAAAGCTTGAATACCTAACAAAGGGATCAATAACAAGCAGGATTAAACACTATTTGTTGTCTGGAGTCGTGAAGTACTTCAAATCTATTGCCATGAGAGAGTGCTCACATAATTATTTGCCGCGGGTCGGCATACAGGTGCCTCCGGGTGTCGGGGATGTTGTTTTAGTCCTTTGCAGCGACGTTAAGCCTGAGATTTGTGCTCATGCCAAGATCTATTACGTATACTATATTTTGGTTGTTGGTCGAGTTTCTCTTAGACGTGTACAAGTATATCTGCACCACAATCTGCACCACCAAAAGTCAGTTCATCACATTGCTCTCTCTGGAGTTATTTTGAATGATTACAGATAGCGTCATCGCCTGAGGAGTCTCAGCTCAGACTCTTGGAGGCCCTTGTTAAGGAGGTACGTAGTGTTATTTATGCAAAGGACATGTTCATTCAGCCCGACCTGGGGCTTGCAGAGTGCACGCAGAAACTCATCAGCATCGATCAGTTCAACGAGCCGTAGATCGCCATCAATATCACAGATCAAGACACCTGTGACTGAGCGCAACCCCCCTGAGCGCCGGGGTTCACAATCCTCTACGTGCTCCAACCGTACTATTCGAGCTCCCCCTGAGGGCTTGAATCGTTCTACTACATCTTTACAGGTGATCATTGTTTTATGGTGGTAGAATAGACTTTGATGCAGCTCCACAGGAGCTATTGGATAAACACAGCGATACGACGCAGACGCACTCTACTGTATGTCTTTTATATACTTCAGGCGATTAGAATTGATTTTCTTTTAGCCCTCTGGTATCGAAAAGCAATCAGGCTCTGGATTGGGCGAGTCGTCTCAGCAGTCATGCCAATCCAAAGGAAAACAAAAGGCAATTGACATTTCTTCGCCACTATCAGATCCTCATATATCACCTCCAGTACGTCTCGCAGGTTCTTCTCATTATTGCTGAACTGACAATGTCTTTCAAAGAACTCGGCCACCTTTTCTACTTTACCCAGATTACCAAACTTGCCGCCACCGCCGCCTGCCGGACCTGCGCCGACTGTTCAAAGCAACCCTGTGTCCCAGCCGATCACGCAAAATCAACAATTCCCGCCAGAGGCCATGGCTTCTATTATGTCATGGTTTTCTACAGGCTTCTCGCATGTGACTTCGACGCTGGAAGGCCACCAGTCAGCCATCGCGAAGAGGATTGAAGACGACGTTAAGGAAATCCGTCAGATTTGCATGCGGACCCAGGAACAACAGAGGAATTTATCCTGCGAGCATTACGCAAAGTCAAAGGTTAAAAAAAAGAAGCGCGCTGGTTTTGTTCCTGATCCTAAGGACGATTGCGTAGATGCTCCCACTGATCATAGCAAGGTGACTTATAACGCTTTCAAGGTTAGTTGGTACTAAATTCGATTCATATTGGAGACTATGGTTACTAACGTCCGGCTGTCATAGGCATGTATCCGCCAGCATGCGCATCATCTTCTGAGAGTCAGTGATTATAGACTGTTGACTTCGAGTAACTGTAGCATCACTGAAGATGAGAACTTTGCGTACATCTCAAATACTCCCGGCCGCATCCAGATTACTGCAGACAACTTTCGTCTTGATCTGATGCGCCATCGAAGCACCAAATTCAACATCGATGCCATCCTTGTATTTGCCCTCGACTTCATCGAGAAAACTACCAAATTTGGTTGGTACAGCGATTCTAAAATTCCTGAACGATACTTTACTCGAAAAGCCGTGAAAGATGCATTCTATTCGCATTTCAAAACCATCCGAGACTATTATAAGGATATAGAGAAGGTCAAGAACGGAATGTCCATGGAGGAGCTTAAAGATAAGAAGCAGTTGGAGCTAAAGAAAAGTGCAAGGCAGTCAAGGAAAAATCGAGTACGTGATCCGTTCACTCCAATATTTATACTCACACTGATGTCCATTTCAGCTTTATGCAGAGCGATTGAAAGCTTGTGCACTTGATGGTGGCCCATTTACACCACATATGGCTCTCTTACAGGAAGCAGGGAGCGCAGGGTGTAGTTCCGACGAATCTGAGAGTGAACCAGACCAGGAACCTGCATATTTGCAGAAGGCTCCTAGGCGTGCGAAGCACATTGGATACAGACGCATCGAGCCAATTTGGCGGGGCACCGCATTCCGCTCGCTGATGTATCGTATTGACGACCGTGTTGATGACTTAAGGTCTTCGGGAGTCAACTTCGCGTCTTCCAGAGCCAGCCGACGACGGTGTGGAAATGTACCGCGCACTAGACTTCACTCAAACAAGACAAATCCGTCAGTCGCAGCACCTCCCAGCCTTCCTCGAAATTGCTACAATCCAGTATGGTACAATTCACTCCCACTAGAAGCAAAGCTGCGGTTAGACATCAAAGACTGGGACTGGGATTTTTGCAATGGCGGACAGTTGGAAGTCGAAGGTGCACCTCAGACTGGTCATGGAGATTATTGTGTTCCGGACCCATCGGATCCATTTGGCCAGCGAAGGATGCAGGTTGATGGAGACTGCGGAGAAGGCCCTTCAAATTCAGACAGTTAGATACTGTATGCTTGAATAATACTGTGGCAATATACATCTGAGCAGGGCTATCCTTCCTCCGCATCCACATCTTCCCACCTTTACAATCACTTTCTGCTCTCTTTGCATGAAGAGCGGATAGATCAACAACACGAGGCGATGAAGAGAATTTGATGATGTCCCGGTAGAGAACCTTAGTTTCTGTGGCGAGCGAGCGAATGGTAGGAGGAGCGGGCGGAAGCTCTGTATCGGATTCATCTGTGTCGGATTGTCCTGAGGGGTCCAGCGGAGGTGTACGTACGCGACTGATATGTTCTGGGAGATGTGGTAGTGCTTGTATTTCCTTGAGTAGGTCCTGTCCCTTGAGATACGAGTTTTCTGTGCGCAAGAAGCGGACGGTGCCACGAAGAGCCTTGATCTATGTGAGAGTCAGAACAACGATGATGAGATGGGTCTAGACCTGCACGGACCTGCTCCAGAAGGTGCGGTGTCTCCACATTACCCTCCATGGGGACATTCTCTGAATCGACAGGTTGTGTGCTAGCAGCTGGACACGGCAAGTTATCAGACCGTGCAATTGACCCCAATATAAAGAAACATACCTTGTCGCTCCGAACCCGCAACCAACGCCTTCAGTTTCGCATTATCTTGCTCGAACATATCCAGGTCTGCCTAAAGTTGTTCCATTGCCTCTTTGTATGCATGTTCCTGCTTGCGCGCTTTCGAGAGCTCGATGTCAAGATCTCCAATGGTATCCACTTGCTCCTTGACTGCTTCCATGCGCCGTTCCATGTGCTCGATCTTCACCTCTGACTTCTGTATCACTTGGTCTTTCGTCTTGAGACTCCGTGAAAGTCCTTGTATTTCCTCCTGCAGCTGTGCGGCTTTCTGCTCGGCTTCGACATTGGTAGTCATTCTGGCTCTGATCTCCTCAATTCGTAGGACCCACGGTGGTGTGCCAGAGACTTGGCCATCGTTAGCATGATATTTGACGAATATCAAAGCTAAAAGAAGCCTACTCTTGAACACGTTCTCAGGTTCCATTGCCAAAGGGAGTAACTTGTTGCACTCCGCTGATAACTGGGCAATAGCTTCACCAACCGCCTCGAAGCAGGAGGTCCCAGGTTTCATGTCCTTGGCGACAGTGGACGTTGCAGTCTGCCTGGCGTACGACAACACTGTTGCAAGCTGAAACGGAGCCTTGGCACTACGGGCGTCGCTAAGGTGTGGAATTACTTGTTGGGCGAGCTACAGTTATACAAATAAGTAGTCTTCCTCAGAAAGGGGAGCGAAAACACTAACAGAGATATCAAAGTTGACTAGCTCGGGAACTGCGTTGCTGAGATTTTTGAGTTGCTGAACGAGATGTGACTTGAGTGCTGAAGACTCCTGGATAATGTCATCGAGGCGCTTTGTAAGTTTCCTGTATCAGAGGCGATTTTACTGTGAACGGCGCTATTGTGGCGAGCTGATAGTGCTGATGGCGAGTTGATATGAGCGCTGACGCTGACGCTGAGCTGCGCTGCAGCGCCAGAGCAGCGAATATTCATTCGAATCACATGAGCGGGCAAACGAGAAAAAGAGAAGCCCGAACTATAAAACACAAAGTCTGAGGAAATGTGACATCAGTATTCTGCGGCTGCAGTGGTGACCTTGGAACGAAAGTTTTACATCCCATGTATATCCCTAACCCCGTTGCCTGACGAACAAAGGATGTGACTTGAGTGCTGAAGACTCCTGGATAATGTCATCGAGGCGCTTTGTAAGTTTCCTGTATCAGAGGCGATTTTACTGTGAACGGCGCTATTGTGGCGAGCTGATAGTGCTGATGGCGAGTTGATATGAGCGCTGACGCTGACGCTGAGCTGCGCTGCAGCGCCAGAGCAGCGAATATTCATTCGAATCACATGAGCGGGCAAACGAGAAAAAGAGAAGCCCGAACTATAAAACACAAAGTCTGAGGAAATGTGACATCAGTATTCTGCGGCTGCAGTGGCGACCTTGGAACGAAAGTTTTACATCCCATGTATATCCCTAACCCCGTTGCCTGACGAACAAAGTGTTAAAAATCGAGCTGGCCATGAGCTGGCCATACATGCGGACATGGTTTAAAATTGAGATTGCGTGTATAGAGGAGCTACAATGTGTTTGCCACATAAAATCACGGCCGTCCGGATTGGGTTTCAATGATCTTGCAGTGATTTAACATTTTGCGCATCAATTGGGATCCCGACCCGTGGCGTCACGTCTTTGAGTTCAGACGAAGAATGGCAAGCCTTCCTATATGATTTAGAATCTAAAATAAATGGTCTCAAACTAGTGGGATAGTGTTAACCTTGATATTTTACACTTTGTCGTCGTCGAGGATTCCTCTCCCTTTTAAAATTTCTGCGCCGCATCTACTGCGCCACCTATCCATATGTTGTATTACATTCCCACCCCGTTTGATCTTCATCTGAACGGCCTTACCTTTTCGACTTTGCCCGCAGTGTTATCCGGTTTTCAGTGATGATATAGTCATGCTCAAGCGCTCATGGTGTGCGTTCTAGTGAGTCCCCTGGCCTGGATGGATCATTCATCTGGAAACGTAAAGGGGCTTTCGGAACAGTTCCTATGAAAAGTACCACAGTAAGGGTCGGTAACCACGCACCTCATCGGCTGCAGGGGTGAACAAAATCTCGCGATCAACCGACGATCAATAGAAAGTCGTGGCAAATGTGACAGGGTTGATATAGAACACGAAGTCGCGGAGAACGTCGATTGACTATGCATGTGGAATGTTGATTTATCGTGGATCTTCCGAACGCACCATCAAATACACGGGGAGTTCTAATATGCATTTCCGTTCGGAGGAGCTTGGCACCAGTGGCAGCGCTCGACTTTGGGAACATCCTGTCCTTCCATCATGTTCAGCTCATGTTAACTCATATTAATCTTGGCTATCGGTGGCAGGCTGGCAGGGGCAGTGCTGGCGTCTACAAAACAGCCTCAAGGACTTGCCCCGGGGGATCCCTTGCTAAGCCTACCGTGGCCTGCCCACAGATGAGCGTCTTAAAGACTCCGCGAGACAAGATCTTCAATGGCATATATAAGGATATATTCGTAAAGCGATAAGGAGAGCTGTACGGTATACCGCCCACAACTCACATGAGTAGGATCCGAGCAGAGATGACCGCACACCAGGTCAAACAAACCCTCGTGTCACGAATCACCAACTTGCACGACATTAATTACTACTATGGCCTGCATTTTGAAAATTCCGATTGCAGTAAGTTGAAAGGCTGCAATTTTTGCTCATTTAAGTCTAGTAGTATGAGTGGATTCATAACGTGGGCCCGCATACTGAGACTATGCCAATGGCAAAAGACGATCGAATTGCGAGTCTACTAGCTAACATATCGTACTAGCCGTGTCATCCAAACCTTGATCTATACCAAACCAAGTCATCATACATCTTCAATGCACGCAGAACGCATTCCACCCGGGTCGTCGGCGGGTTTTTGTAGACTCGTAACCAGTCTGTACTAAGTCTAGGGTTTGTGCGGCATCCCTACAAAACGAATTGAGACAGGTCGAAACAAGGGTGTGATTCGCTTACGGTTCGGGCACGCAATTGAAAACGTGGAGCGTAAGGAGTCCATTGAAAACGAAGGCCAAACAACCTGTGGCTGTTATGACTTGGACCGGGACATTTCCAGAGCAGAAGCAAGCGATAAAGAGAGCTACACCAAAGAAAATCTCATGCATCATCGACAGGAACACTTCTGCTAACTCACACACAAACAAACAGCAAGCGGCGACTGCCAGACAAATTGAGGGGTGTGCCAACCACAACAACAGGCAGATAATTTGGCATCGTGACATGTCCTGCAGCAAGCGTCAAACCATGCAACACCCCAAATAAAGAGAGCTCACTCTGAGGTGTTCCATGTCTTTATGAACAGTGCTAGTTTGATAGATGACCACGACCGCAGCTCCCGATATTACACTGAGCAATGCAGCACTAAATGCAATCATGGCGAAGACATAGGAGGCTGCAGTGTCAAGAACCATCAAGCTAGTTACAGGAGAGCTCGTCGTCAGGAGCAAAGCAGTAGTTGCGAGTACCAGCCCAGCCTAAATTCCAATTGTTTAATGTTAGTGACAACGACCAGATCGTATCAAACACACAGTGACGTTTGAGTTCTGGAAGCGATTGACCATCACTGAGACATGTTCTTTCCATTCTTCGTTATTTGTGTCTCTCCAGTGTTCGAGGGACGTCCGAGAGACTGCAGCAACGCACATGATTTTGAACGCTGACTTCAGAATAGGATGAGTGGGAGGCGCAAAGTTTTTCAGGACTTGAGAGGCTGAGCGACTTGAAGTATCATTAGACATCGTTTCATCAATGGTAGAGCTCATAATGTGAGTGTTCAAGTTGTGGAGTTGAGACGTTATTGAATGGACGTACAGGACGACCCTTATACTTGCACATGTCCGTGGTTCCAGATTCGGGGGCAATGCTTGCAAGAATGCATCGGGAAACCGATCTGCAGGATCAGTGACCATGCTGAGTACATGACAATGTACATGAATGCTGAGCGCTGAGCTCGAATCCACCAATGAGAATCTCGCTTGAGCGCTACTTGGAAGTCTGCGATATCACCGCTTTCATATAAGAATCCACCAAAACTTCCTAAAAAAGCGATCTTGACCCAGGATCATTGTGGCGTCCTTGTCTGTCGAAATTGAGTGGCTGGACAGCAACGTTGTCCTATCCTGTGCACACTGCGAGGAATATCTATTTTACAACGTACTTGCTGTGTAGACAGTTTCGCATGGGCGATCAGGAGGTGGTGTGGCATATGGATACTAGGTTAAGGAGACATGGCAATTTCTTCGAGAAAGCGATGCTGCTACTCCACGGACCGATACGTACAACCCGAAGCATCCAAACCCTGAGTGGTCTATAACAATTATCATGCCCAGTCATCCCTGTCAGAGCCGAAGACATGCACCTATACTGGCATGATGCCTGTCAGCAACTTGTGTGGGTGAGGTTTTTTTGATCATCGACCCGCCTGTAAAGTATAATTAGACTGGCGAATCCAACAAGAGTGCTACAAAGTTACTTTTCGCCCACAACGCTGAAAATGTAGAGCGTAAGGCCTCCGTTTGAAAGGAAGGCCAAACAAGCCAAGGTGGTGATGGTGTTGACAGCACTATTGCCAGACCAAAAGCAAGCGATAAAGATAGCTGTGGACCAAAGCAAACGCCATACTCGTCAGCATATCTAAACAACATCTAGTGCCTCACTCACACACAAACAAACAGCAAGAAGCGATTGACAGACAGACTGAGGGGTATGCCAACCATAGCAGCAGCGCGATGACTTGGTGTCGTGGCATGCGCTGTGCCGTGTGTCAGATTGTGGGTCAGTCCAGACAAACAGACTCACTTTGAGGGTTTCCATGTCTTTGTGAGCGGTGCTAGTTTCATAGATAACAAGCACAGCAGATCCGGATATCACGCTGAGCAATGCGGCACCGAATGAAACCATAGCGAAGATGTACGAGATTGAAAAGTTATAAGCCATCAAATGCTCGATAGGAGGCACGGACGACAGGAATAGAGTAGCAGTTGCGAGTACGAGCCCGGCCTGAAGTCCAGTTTTTGAACACTAGCCATAAACATCGGATCATATCAAACATACAGTGATATTTGTGTTCTGAAATTGATTGACCATTATTGAGACATGGTCCTTCCATTCTTTTTTCTTTGTATCTTCCCAATGGTCGAGAGACTCCCGAGAGACCGCAATAACGCACAAGATTTTGAACGCCAGCCTCAGGATAGAATTATTGGGAGCTTGATAGCCGGTTTCAGGGGAGGAGTTTACAGGCATGGCCGTCGTCGTGGTGGGAATGACTAGAGCTGCTTTTGAAAGCTGGCATCCAGAAGAGGGCACCCATAAGACTATATATTATTAGTATAACGTTTATGCACAGTATTCTAAGAAGTAAAGTAGAACGGTTTCGGGAACTTTCGCGCGCTCGCGTGGTTTGCGCGTATTTCGCGTATTTCGCCAAAGGCCATGTGGTTTTCGCTTACCTCGCTTAACCTCGATTTGGCAGCTCGCGTGGTTTTGTCACGTGTTTTCGAACGCCGACTCAAATAGCGTCGCCCTTTGGGAACTTAGCACGACCTTGGTAACTGTACGTGTACATGGCATTAAATAATGAAAAAATATGTGTTTGAGCAGGGCAAGGGAGATGTGTGATTAGATTTGAGTGTTTTTCCTACTGTAATTGTTATGGTAGTATACATAGAGCAAATAATGGAACAACATATAATACAATGACAGACAGGGGGAAAACAAATATGAGATAAAAGAGATTGGGAGATGAATGACAGAAGGTTATGAAAAAAAAATAAAAAAGGGAGAAAAAGATCACTTAGAAACTCAAAAACTGGAAAATGGGAGGACAGGAAAATGGGAATGGGAAACTGGGAGAACCAGAGAACCAGAGGACAGGAGACGGGAGACGGGAGACGGGAGACGGGAGACGGGAGACGGGAGACGGGAGACGGGAGACGGGAGACGGGAGACGGGAGACGGGAGACGGGAGACGGGAGACGGGAGACGGGAGACGGGATACGGGAGACGGGAGACGGGAGACGGGAGACGGGAGACGGGAAACGGGAGGACATGGGGCACAGTGGGAGATGGGAGGCAGGGAAAAATGGGAAAATAAATACATTCAATGATACTGTTACATATTTTGTATTTTTACATTTGTCAAAATCCTGCTCAAAGAACATAGGGAACAGACTGATCTTATGTACTACAAGAGTACCAATCACCTTCAAACATTGTGTGTCTGTATACTATGTTTGCCATAGTCTTCTCCTCGGCCTCTGTAGGAAATAGTGCCTGAATGTCTCTTTGACATTGCACACTCAATAGTGCAGTGTAAAGCTGACTGTGTGTGAACAAATCTGTATGAAGGCCCAGCACAGGCAGGAAAGTCATGCAAATTGGTTCCACAGGATCAAATGTTTCATCCTTACATATTGTAAATGTACTTTTATGTGGTGTGATAGATTGTACTTTGAGTTTTTTCAAAAAAGCTACTCATAAATGTATTTCAAAAGTGTCCAAAATGTACAATTTATTAGGATGCAGCCTGAAGTCAAAAGAGGGTGCAACCCTCCTTGGCTTCCTGTGACGAAGGAACAATGCTCATCAGGAGCCTTCTGAATTATTGGGATGAAGCTGAGGCCAGGGAGCTTAAAAAGAGCGCGAAGCGCTCTTTTTTTGCGACCTGTGCCGAAGGCAGAACGGGTGTGGACTAGTACTATTCCACAGACCAGAAGCAAACTTTGCAAGAACGACCCGGATCAGAACACTAGATCACTGCGTGCAGAACTCGTGTTCTTAGATACGCTTAGATACGCTTAGATACGCTTAGATTCGCCTAAGGCCACATGGTTTTCGCTTACCTCGCTTGAACTTCTATTTGGAAACTCGCGTGGTTTTCTCGTGTGAGCTCGCTAAAACTAAGACTAAGACTAAGTAAGAGTTGAAACGAAAAAAATCCAATTTGAGAGAAATTTTTGCCGAGTCCGAAAATACTGCCAAACGCGATATAGTGGACAGTGATCCTCACGCTTACTGCGCTGCGTGTACAACACGGACAAACAACTGACTTTTCCTCTCATGGGGGAAAGGCATCGAGAATAACAAAAGCAATAATAGAAATTTGATTACACTTTTGGTTACACAAATCATTACACAACTTGGCTGCTGCTTTTGAATAGCGTTCTCGAGCTAAATTGCCTTCCCCTGCAGCCAAGTTTAATCAAGTGTGATATATACACTTTTTGTGGGTTTCATTTCTTATCAATGATGATAGAAATGACTTATTGATGAATTCAGGCAAAATTTGCACTCGCTAAACAACCGTTTGAATTTAACAACCATGGATGGATATATACCTATTCTGTGAGTTGCTGATATATTGCTATGCATAAGGTGCATGATGCTAATGTCTGCACGTACTATTTAGAAATCAAGATCAAATAACACCCGAACGCGACCGTCACTCGCAACGTGAATCTAAGAAGTAAAGTACGACGGTTTCGGAAATGCTCGGGCGCTCGCGTGGCTTTTGCCTATTTCGCTAAAGGCCATGTGGTTTTCGCTTACCTCGCTTAACCTCGATTTGGAAACTTGCGTGGTTTTCATGTATATTTCGAGCGGCGACTCAAACAACATCACCCATTGGGAATGTTGCGCAACAACATTGGTAACTGTATGTGTACATGGCATTAAATAATGTGTTTGAGCAGGGGGACAACAGGATTTGAGTGTTTTGCCTACTGCAATTATTAGTAGTGACTGTATATGTACATAAATGGAACAACATATGATACAATTACAGACAGGGAGATAACAAATGTGGTGACAGGAGATAAGATTCAAATAAAAAAAGGAGACAAAGACAATGTAGACTCAAAAACCAGAGAATGTGATGACAGGAAAATGGGGAAATGGGAGAACAGGAGACAGGAGATGGGAGACTGAGAGAACAGAGATGGGAGATGGGAGACAGGAGATGGGAGACAGGAGACGGGAGACAGGAGACAGGAGTAGGAAGTAGGGAGTAGGGAGTAGGGAGTAGGGAGTAGGGATTAGCATGGGTATACCCCATGGTAACATTTTTTCCAATCACATATATTACCATTTGAAGGCACATGTACAACTTCAAAATTTTATTACTGATCCATCACTCCTATGGTAATCAATTTGGAGGTATATTCCCAGGGGTACAGGGGTCTTCAGATCCAAACCCCTACCCCTACCCTCAAGGGTTTCCCATACCCCTGCTGATCCCTAGATGGGAAGCAGGGAAAAATGGGAAAACAAATACATTCAATGATACTGTTACATATTTTGTATTTTTATATTGGTCAAAATCCTGCTCAAAGAACATAGCACTGACTGATTGTATGTAGTACTATGTACTTTTATGTGGTGTGATAGATTGTACTTTGAGTTTTTTTGAAAAGCTGCTCATAAATATATTTCAAAATCATTCAAAATGCACAATTTATTAGGATGCAGCCTGAGGCCAGGAAGCCAAAGGAGGGCATAGCCCTCCTTGGCTTCCTGTGATGAAGGAACAACACTCATTTTCCTCCCCTGAAGGAGCGCGTAGCGCTCCTTCGATTTGTGCCGAAGGCACAACGGGCATGAGCTCATAGAAGTTCAAGCGAGGTAAGCGAAAACCATGTGGCCTTAGGCGAATCTAAGCGTATCTAAACGAAAACCACATGAGCTCGTCTTAAGAAGAAAGGGAGAACAGTTTTCGGGAACGCACGGGCGCTCACGTGGTTTGCGCTTATGCCGCGTAGATACGCTTAGATACACTTAGATTCGCTTAAAGCCACATGGTTTTTGCTTACCTCGCTTAAAGCTCTTTTTGGAAACTCGCGTGGCTTTGTCATGTGTTTTTGAGCGCCGACTGAACTGCCGTTGCCCATTACAGCAGCACACTATGCAGGATTCTCCCTATTGTAATTGTTTAGGGTACATACATACAGTAAATAATAAAACTAAAATGGAACAACAAATACATGTGGTGACAGGAAATGAATGACAAAAGGTTGTGAAAAAATAAATCAAAAGGAAACATTGATAATATAGAAACTCAAATAGAAACTCAAAAACTGGAGAATGGGAGGACAGAAAATTGGGAACAGGAAACAGGGAGAATGGGAAATGGGAGAACAGGAGATGGGAGGATGGGAGGATGGAAAAATGGGATACTGGGATACTGGGAGACAGGAGACAGGAGACGGGAGACGGGAGACAGGAGACGGGAGACGGGAGACGGGAGACGGGATTAGCATGGGTATACCCTGGGGTAGTGATGTCTCAGCTCCAAGCTGCATTTTTCAGAAAATGAGCATAACATGCTGAATAAAATTCCTAAATTCATGAAGATATTTATGGACATAGATTGAGCCAAAAGCCGAGAGGCATCTAAGGGGAATTCGTACTGTGATGCATCATTGTCTTGCTATGAAGAAGCTCAGCAAATGGCTTGAATTTTGAGCCATTTGCTGAGCTGCTTCATAGCAAGACAATGATGCATCACAGTACGAATTCCCCTTAGATGCCTCTTGGCTTTTGGCTCAATCTATGTCCATAAATATCTTCATGAATTTAGGAATTTTATTCAGCATGTTATGCTCATTTTCTGAAAAATGCAGCTTGGAGCTGAGACATCACTACCCTGGGGTATCTGAGGTGACACCCTTACCCTCAGGCTTTGGGTGTGGGTTTTTGAAGGGTACCAGAGATAGATACCGTGGGTATACCCCAGGGTAACACTTTTTCCAATCACATATATATATTACCATTTGAAGGCAAATGTACAACTTCAAAATTTTATATGTATCCATCACCCCTATGGTAATCAATTTGGGGATATATTCCCAGGGGTATAAGGGTCTTCAGATCCAAACCCCTACCTCTACCCTCAAGGGTTTCCCATACCCCTGCTGATCCCTAGATGGGAGACAGGAGATGGGAGGCAGGGAAAAATGGGAAAATAAATACATTCAATGATACTGTTACATATTTTGTGATTTTATGTTGTGTAGTAGATTGTATTTTACATTTGTCAACATCCTGCTCAAAGAATGTAGAACTGACTGATCTTATGTACTATGTACTTTTACATGGTGTGGTATATTTTACTTTTAGTTTTTTGTTGAAATGCTCATAAATGTATTTTCAAAATTATTCAAAATGCACAATTTATTAGGATGCAGCCTGAGGCCAGGAAGCCAAAGGAACAATGCTCATCAGGAGCCTTCAGAATTATTAGAATGAAGCTGAGGCCAGGGAGCTTAAAAAGAGCACTTCGCGCTCTTTTTTTGCAACCTGTGCTGAAGGCAGAACGGGT